TCCCTCCTTCCCCTTAGGATTATATTTATCAAGACTACAAACCTGTGTTTTGGTCTCCTTCAGCAAAGTAAGAATCGGCATACCATTTGATTTTGTTTGTTATAAGTAAAGAGACTGATACATTTCATATGGTTGCTTTTTAACCTATGTTTGATCTTTACCTAGTACAGCCTTGGCTGAAGGTGAACTTGAGTACAATGAGCAGCACATCAGTCGTTCTGTATATATCAAATTTCCATTGTTGAAATCTCCTCCTAAACTAGCCTCTGTGATGGGTATGATTTTGTATTTTTTTTTCATTCATAAGACTGTAATAGCTTTGGCTTTTATAATAAAGTAATGTACTCTTTATTTGTATTTTATAGATGGATTATCCAAGGTTAGTTTGCTTGTCTGGACCACTCAGCCCTGGACAGTTCCAGCCAATCAAGCTGTTTGTTATATACCAAATTCAGAGTATGTATTAAATATTTTTAAATCTGTTGTTCTTATGAATTTGATTCTATTTTTATTAGTTTCCATCTGCAGCATTGCAATTAAACATTCTTCATAGCATGGCTGAAGTAATCAACATTTCAGATGTATTAATCATATTTTTAATTTTTAATAATTGATTGCAGGGGGGTTTTGTATTGCAAAAGAGTTAAAAATAAAGTTACCGTTTTAGCAATATTTCGTTAGCTTAGAGCTTGATCTTAAATTAATTCTCGTATTCATTTGGAGATTTAAAAGTAAAACAATTGTAGGAATTGTGTTAAGGATAACATTGAAAGAACATAAAAGTGGAAAACGTTTAAAAAAAAAAAAATTAACATTATGATGCTGACCTTTTTTTCCCCTGATGGAGTATTAACACATTTAATGCCTTTGTGTCTTAGGTATTCTGTTGTGAAATGTACAAATACCGGTGAATGTTATATCCTGGTTGCAGATAGAGTTGAATCTCTGGCTGCCATCTTGGACATGCAGGTTGAAGTTATTTCAACATTCAAAGGCAAGAGCTTAGGGATAGTCTGAATATTAGTGTGTTACAGAACATGTTGTAGACTATTTATTGGGGTGCACCAATAGAGATTTTGGGAGCCGATACCGATAGCCTATTTTTTTTTTAAGGAGGTATACTGGCCAATACCGATCCGATTTCTGATACAGCTGCATGCAGCTGTAAGTCTGTGGTGGGAGGGGAGGGGAAAGGGAAGGGACATGGGGTGGGGGTGCAGACCAACACCCCCCATGGTGAGGGAGGGGCTGGGGCAGAGCATGGGGCAGAGCTACAGCTCATCCAGGGGTCACAGGGTAGGAGGCATCCCCCCCCATAACCCCCTTCCCAGCACCACCACCGCCTGCCCTGAGTGCAGCCCCAACCCCTTTCCTTCCCAGTCCCCCACATGCTGGGAAGAGCCCGGTGCAGCCCTGTCCTCAGCCCACAGCTGCAGCCTACCCTGTCCCTCCCCTCTCCTCCCCCACACAGATCTAAGAGCACATGCTGCCGCGCCCCTGCCCCTGCACTGCCCGGACAAGCTGCAGCTCTATCCTGGGCTCCACCCCGCCCTGGCTGGGCAGCACCTACCCCAGCCCCACTCCTTCCCTCACCACAGGGATGTTGATCTGCCTCCCCCTGCCCACCACAACAGACTTACCAGCTGCACGCAGTTCTCCAAGCTGCCAGACTGTGCTCCTCACTGCCTGCATGCTGTGCTGCAGCTGCATGCATGTACAGGCATTTATCGGCCACATTAGGCTGATTTCTGATGCCATCAATTTTCTTTATATCAGTGCTGATCCAATGTCAGACCGATGTATCAGTGTACCTCTACTACTTATTAAAATGTTGATTTAAAATGTTGCCAGTAGGTCAAGGGAAGTGATTATTCCCCTCTATTCAGCATTGGTGAGGCCAAATCTGGAGTACTGTGTTCAGTTCTGGGCCCCCCCACTGCAAAAAAGTGCGGACAAATTGTAGAGAGTCTAGCAGAGGGTGACAAAAATGGTGGGGGGGGCTGGGGGACAACTTATGAGGAAAGACTCGGGGGAATGGGCTTACTTAGTCTAGAGAAGAGGAAACTTAATAGCAGTCTTCAACTACCTGAAGGGGCGTTCAAAAGAGGATGGAGCTAGACTGTTCTCAGTGGTGGCAGATGACAGAACAAGGAAGCAATGGTCTCAAGTTGCAGCAAGGGAAGTTTAGGTTAGAGATTAGGAAGAACTTTCTCACTAGGAGGGTGGTAAAGCATTAGAACAGGTTACCCAAAAAGGTGATGGAAGCTTCATCCATGGGGGTTTTCAAAACCTGGCTAGACAAAGCTTTGTTAGGGATGGTCCTGCTTTGAGCAGGGGGTTGGCCTAGATGACTTCCTGAGGTCCCTTCCAACCCTAACTTTCTATGATTCTAAAAGCATTTTGTTTGCTTTGCTTTAAACTTTGGACCTATGCTCATATAATATTAGCTTAAATAATACAAAGATGAGGTAAACTTAAATAACATGAAGACCAGGTAATTGGGATTCATCCTAGTGACTGGTTAAGGGTGGTAAGAACAGCTAGAATTCTCGGACAGATTTCAGAATGCTTATAGAAGCTAGTTGCCACATTTATAAAATGTGAATAAGCACGTGGAATATACTCAGAATATATTGTACAATACAGATGAGAAGGGGAGCTAGGAAAATAACTCAGCTTGATTGTGCTGTTTTGTTTTGTTTTGGTTTTTTTTATCCTGAAATTTGGGTAGCTTCTGAACCCAAAATTAGATCAAGTGCAGTTTGTCAATCTTGAGTCCCAGGTGAAATTAAAGTAGGATTCCCATTGGTATACTAGACTGCCTACCTCACTGCAGAATTCCCGTGTGAGGTGTTGACATACTTAGTGCAGTGACATCAGAGGTTTTGGGAGTGACAGTTATGTTAACATGCATTCATGATCAGTGCTGATGATCCTAGGTGATTTCTGGCTCAGATTGCAAACTGTTTGTCTACATGAGGAAGGTAGTTCAGGGTAACTGACATGTATGCTGTAAGCTTACAACTTGGCTACATGCTAATTCTTAGTGCAGTGCACTTAGGCTGCAGTAAATGTAAGGTAGGTAGCTTACTCCATTTCCAGAGTCACTGGTTTGTATGTGACCTGTAACAATTGACTCAAGCCAAGATGATTAGAATCTCTTGGCAGGAACCTCAGTTTGGGAACTTGTTTTTTTTTCTTTCCCGTAGCCTGAATTTGTTGAGCTTCTTGCTGTCTGACATAGTTATGAATTTTCTGTTCCAGGCTTCTATGGGGGGAGGGATTCAGTAAGGGCTTGTACTTCGGGGTGAGTAGCATTATTGTTTAAATTTGATCATTTAGTTTATTTCATTTTCTGGGTATGGGGAAGATGTTGGCTCTTTAATGTCTTTATACTTTAGTGTTGATTGTGTAGTGCGTGTACTATACGCTTTTCCTTTTATTTCTGTCTTTGGGAAGTTAATGTGACCTGCTCGCAGTCCTGTGGTCCTATGGAAACTATGCTTTAATTTCTAGAGTTAAAAATTGGTTCCTTTTATGTTGGTTCCTTGGTTTGCGAGAAATGGGAATGCAGTCATCTCCTGGAGGTGCAGAGTGCTTTCTGTGGGTCACTGCTTGTGGAGTAGCTTTTAAGTATTCTGCTGAAAGGATGATAGCTATAAAACAGCAGGGTTTGGGAAGAACCTTTAGGTCCTTGACAGGGGAACAGGAGATTCCTGTAATTTTTTTTATCAATGAATCAGGATTCTTTTGTTCTATAAAAGCTGTGCTCCTAAATTGCTTATCTAACAGTATCGCCTCTTTTTTCTTCAGGTATAGATTTGGAGGGTGGTTCTTGTGCTCATCCAACAATTCCTGGGAGAGACTCTCCACTATTACCTGCAGATCATGTGACAATGGCAAAAGGAACAGGATTAGTTCACACAGCCCCAGCTCATGGTATGGAAGATTACAGTGTAGCTTCCCACCACCAACTGCCCATGGTACTTCTTTTGTTTTGTTTTTGTTTTGTTTTGTTTAGTTTGTTTTTTGTATCTTGTTTTAACCTGTCTGTTTTGTCACACCTAGAATGTTAAATGTCATAGACTTTACAACTTGTATATGAAATTTTAAAATGCCTGTGCTACCTTTATTATACAGCTAACTCACGGGTAACTTGGATCTACTATAAATAGGCTTCGTATTTGAAGAATGAAGTCCTACATTATGAAGTAAGGGAGGAAAATTGTTCTCTCTTATATCTAGTGGTATAAACTTGGCAGTGTAGGAATGGAATGAGGTACTCTTTGGTGTGGGGGGGGAAGAGGTTGAATCAAATGAACTCTAAACATAGACACAATGGCTTGTTGAGCGTTTTTTTGGGTGGGGGGGGTTGTCTCCATTAAACCATGAGCAAAATAGGTAATTTGTAACTATAGTATTTCTTTCAATGGGGCTTTACTCCTTCAGGAACAGCTTGGGTAGGAGAAATAAATTTACTGCTTTTTACAGGTGTTACTTAGTTCTGTGGCTACTAATCTGATTTTTTTTTTTTTCTAACTACAGCTCTGTATTGTAACAATAATTTGCCGCCTTTTCCTTGCTTGTCAGATTAGTACATAGCTGTCATTGATCACCTCCTGAATTAGTCCTTGAGAGAGCGATGCCCAGTAGACTGTTGTAGTGACTTCCTTCTGTTTGCTTTGTTGCAAAAAGGGAAACTTAGACAAAGACTCGTACATCAAGCAAATCTGAGAGTAGAATCTAGGTATCCTCTCTCTCTCTCAGTCCAGTCTTTAACCACTGGAGCCTAATGCTTATAATATTGTGATAGGTAGTAGAATTGATGATAGAAGTGGTGAGTGTTTTTCTTCTTAATCAGTGCCAAATTAGAGTTGTGCCATAGTGAAGGTTTTTGAATGAAACCTAAAGCTTAGATTCTTGCAGTGTGTTGCTGCTAAAGATCTTCTCTTTTTTGCAATGTTGTTATTAAATTTCCAGTGTAAGAAGGTATCACTTCCCTCATGTCCACCGATAGCTTTCAAATGCGAATTATTTTCATCCTCTATACAAAGTGACCCCTTTCTCATCAGATGTAGTTGTGTTTTGGTGATGGATGAGGTGATCCTAGGACATGTAATCAGTTTGCAATATTTGTAATGGACATTTTATATTTTAAAGCTGACTGCTAATGTTATCCTGCTTATACTTGATCATCTTTTTCCTGTAAGGATAGACTTATTCCTGTTGTTCTATAATTCCTCTCGATTTTAATTCTTGAAAGGTAAGTATTTAAGCTTTGCCTGCGTGTAATAATAGCGAAGCTCTATCCTTACAAGCTCAATGTAGTTAAATCTCTTGAATTTTCAAGTTTGCTTGCAAGTTGGCAAAAGTCAGGAATGTCAAATTTAGTGTTATAGCACATGAATATAAAGAGCCACCATCTTTTCTGAGCCAAGACAGAGGTCTATTATAGGCCTCTCCAGTTCACCATTTCACATTCTTAAATATAGTGGTCAATATTTTATTAACATAAGCTAAAATGTTTTTGTTCCTAGGATTGTCTTGTTGATGAAGGTGGCTTTTTTACGGAAGCTGCAGGTTCTGAACTTCAGAACAAGGCTGTACTTGAAGAAGGAAATGAAGCTGGTTAGTATTTTGTGTTCATCCAATTATTTTTTTTAAAGCATAGTCTCTCAAATATTTTGAAGGTTCATGTGAACCAAACTGCTGAAAGTGAACAAGATATTGGCACTTCATTGCTAGGAGGATGGGAAATGAGGACTAGGAAAAGGGAAGAAATTAAATTAGCAGCAGCAGCAGCACTGTCTTCTTTTGTTAACATCAGACTCCAATTATTTTTCTTCCTAGTTATTCAGATGCTTCAAGCAGCAAAGAGTTTATTAAAAGAGGAGAGATATGTACATAGCTATCCATATGACTGGAGGACTAAGAAACCTGTGATTATTCGTGCCAGCAAACAGTGGTTTGTAAATACAGCAAATATCAAGGCTACCACCCAGGTATAAAGCTTCATCAGTTTGCTTTTTGTGGAGAGTTTAGGGATGTTAATGGTGCATGGGGTTTTTGACTAACATGGTCTTTCTCTGCGCTTCTCCAGAACTTCACCCCCCTCCCATTGTGTCTACGAAAACTGAACTGTTGATGGAAATCCTTGTAATAGAATTTTTGTCCATCTGATACCTGTAATGGGCTGTGTCATTATCCTTACACCTTTCCTTCTAAGGGTACAGGTTATAAGTCAATAGTTAGGGCAATTAATGGGAGTTGGGAGGTTCATTTTCTCAGTCTACTGTAGACTTTGTATGATGGTTGAGCAATCACTTAGAGCCAGATCTTATTCCACCTTTTAGGCATCTAAGTGGTACTTAAGCATATTAGTATCTAAGCACAATTCTATACCACCCTGTTCAAGGCCTTAAAAACTCATTAATACATCTACTTCCATTGATCTTAGTCCTAAGACAAAGCAGCAAGGGAAGAGGAGGAGGACACATCCAGCTTTTGTGTTAAGTTTTTCAGGGACTCAAGCAGGTGGACTAGGATCACAGTTAGACACTTAAGTGCCATTTAGACAATAAGTGGCATAGCATCTGGTCATCTGTTTCTCTGAGCTAGATCTGGAAAGATACTTAGGCTCTTATCAACTTTTGCTGAAATTAATGGGAGTTAAGGTGCCTAAATACTTTTTAGATCTGGCCCTCAGTGCTTATGGGGCATATCTGTAAAATAAGGAGAAGTGTTCCCTGCCTGACAAAAGCTCTGAGTTAATGATTGTGAGATGCCCAGATACTGCAGTAATGTGAGCTATAGAAAGGTGGCCGAAAGGACCAGTGTCTTCCTTCCTTCACAAAAATGTTCTTAAAATATTCTGTTTTCCTTCCTTCAATAAGCAGCACAGTATTTTTAAGATACTGTGATGACAACTTTTATAACTACATTACTGAAAGGTTTGGTCCACAGTACAACATTTTGCTAATTGACTTAAGTAAGTCGGTAGTATGAAAAGATCACACTACCTAATTAACATAGCTATGATGGCAGAACCCCTAGGGTGCAGATGGCTATACCAACCAGCGAAGGCTTCTGTAATCTTAAAGGATGTCATTCAGGGATCTGGTGCAACTATTTCAGCAGGAATATCTCTTCTGCCATTACATGCCACAAATCCACAAGGGGGCTCTGCTGTTACAATAACTATGCCAGTGTAACTATAGCTGTATCAGCTCCATAGTGTAGACAAGTCCTAAGAACTTACATAAGAAATATGAGTGGTGGTAACATCCATCAGATAAATTTACATGTGGTAACTAGTCTGTAGCATGTTAATTTCAACATGTAAAGAATCGTGCCTGTAATTCTTCATGGATTGGGAGGGGAACAGCATCCTTTTACTTAGTTGTTGATTTCTGTCCAAGACTAAATAAATCTATTTGTGGTTGTTTCATAGGAAGTGTTAAAAAAAGTGAAATTTGTTCCTGCATCAGCAGAGAAGAGAATGCTAGAAATGCTGGACAGACGGACATTTTGGTGTATATCAAGACAAAGGTGTTGGGGTGTTCCAATTCCAGTGTTCTATCATAAGACAACAGGAGAATCCCTCATAAATAGGTAATTTTTATATAACTAAATAGATGGCACTCTCTGTTGCTCCTTGATGTAGAAAGCATTGAAGCCTCAAACTATCTAAATGTGAATAAATCTGTTTTAGTTCACAGCTGAATGTATTTTAATATAGTTGTTTATATTGGGTGAAAAAAGAGGTACCAGTGGCTCATTACTGATTTGTGGTTTGTAGGTAGGTAGTCTGGTTCTGCCTCATGCCCCGTGTGCAGCAGTCAACTGAAGATGCTTGATCACATTTGTAATTTTTTAATAAGGTTAATAGAGCTTTGTTTTTTGTGGGCTTTTTTAATATTTACATGAAATCGAATGAGTGCTGGAGCCTGAATACATTGTGACTAGTCTTGGCACTGTGATCTGAATGTTTCAAATATTTGTCACAATGATTTCTGAGACTAAGGAGTTGCTAGTGTAGTGATGAAAAAGCAAAAGGGGCTTGGTCAAATTTAGAGTGGAACAAGAAGCAAAGTTCTAATTCAAAGTTAGTTTGGAAAGATAACTTCTATTTCCTGTTTAGTGGATATTAAACATGATTGCAAGGCAGCCACCTCCATATTAGGACTTCCTATTCTTCTGAATACTAGAAGCTATAAGGGAAGAGGGGCATTAGATGGGTCAGTTCGCCTTACGTAAATTGTCTTTACCCTAGCATCCACTCTCTATACCCCTGTGAGGTACAAGACACTGGGCAACATTTCCAGTATGGCATTTCTTATGTTCCTCTGTTTTGAAGTGTGGGTTGTCATACAGTTAGGTCACTTAATACCCATTTAAATTTTTCAGGTGTTCACCTTTTTGTTTCTAACATCTTTCCTATTCTGTAATGTTAAGAGAACTAGTTCATTGAAAAAGATTTCAGTTGTTCAGAACTATACCACTCCAAATAAAACTTTGTGCTAAGTTTTACAATAAGTCTCAGTTAAGTACAATGCTATCTAAGAAGCAATGAAACAAAATTATTTTCCATTGTTTTGTATTAAGATTCTCTCTCTTACTTAAAGCTCAAACTGAAAGTTGTTAAGCACACTTTTGCCTCATGAAAGCACTGGTTTTAATTTTTGGAGCAGGTATTTTAAACAGCCATAAGAGCATAAGAACTAACATTTAGTGGGTCAGACCATAGGTCCATCTTTCCCAGTATCCTGTGTCACACAGTGGCAGGGAGTAGATACTTAAAGGGAGAGTGAATTAGGTATGGCCAGGGTTTTTCCCCACTATATTTCTCTCTCCTTTGCAGCCTGTAGCAATCTAAAAGATTGCCATGTAAAATGGCATTGCATGGGTTCCATATTCATTGGTTCATCGCTTTCCTTATTTGATTTGGAGTTGGTTTTAACCCTCAAATACAACAGCATAATTCCATTTTTGGAGTTGTTGACCTCAATGATCTTTGTGCAAATTCATTTAAAGCTAATAAGGGTATATAGGTAAAGATAATCAGAACTTGGATTGCATATAGTCTTTTTTAATTACTGTAATAAGTACGTTTTGCAAGAATCCAGGTTGATTTCCAGAATCAAAGGTGAGTTCCAGACTGATCAAATCTGGTATGGAAGTTAAGACGCAACAAGTATGCAACCTAATACTGCATTTCATCCTGATGGACTGTAAATTCTGCTCATTTTTTACTACTCTGTATTTGCTAACAGAGTTCGAGTAAGGTTCAAGTTTTTTCTTTAACACTAATACAGAAACGTCCTATTTATAGTGTTAAATACCATCTCTTACATGGTAAAGTAATTCATCCATTTTAAAAAGCATTAATTAAATGCTTCAAATTTATATGAAGAAGTATCCTTTGTGTATGTGAGCCCCCATAGTTTATCCGGGAAGTAACCTGTTAAAGAGTGTTCTGCTTTTAGTATTATAGAATTACATTTAAAAAGGCTAATTTTATGTAGGATTTTTTTGTTTTGTTTTTAAATGTTAACCAATTCCTAATTTGAGTTGCAAGTTATGAAAATATGCCATAATCAGTATTTCCTCAGAACTTGTAGGG